GGCCGGCACACTAAGCTCAGAGGAAAGGCAAGACGGACATACGACCAGACTACGTCAGGCACCATTAGTATTGAAGCTCTGCGCTGGTGGCTGAGGATGGGGACGGAGCGCCTATGAGAATGCCCCGAGTCCTGTGATGTCAATTCTTGACTAGACTCAGCTCAATTATATTATGTAATACTAAAAGTTGTCTTGTCTCTACTCAATGTGTGATACAATTTGTCGGCACATTTCTGGCTTTCCAGATATGTGTTATATTGCCTTACAGGCAGGCATTAAAATCACAGGCCAGGACGATGTCAACTGTGACTAGAAAGACCCGCTCGAGTAAGCAAACGTATTTAATTTACCGACCACGGCATGCCATTTCAGGACCGCAGTTGCCATCACCTGTATTTATTACCACGCTTCTTCTCAGATGCCCAGCTCTCAGCATATCTGCAGTTCTGTTCACATTTATCCATATTCTCTTTCTGATTTCCCCCCTCCCATGCAACATGGTCCATGGCACCCAGTTCCGATGAATCTACCCCAATATCTGTATCATTATACCCCGCATGCACACGTTTTCATATCGTAATATAGGCCTACCTTGACATCTTCTAGTCGTCTGTAATTCAATAGCCCAGTGTTCGTGATCTTGTCTTGTCTTTTAACTTCCATTCTATATTATAATTTATCGACTTATCGTCTTATTACTTGCTGGGCGAACTTTTCATTATTTCAAAGCCCCACTCTGGTTGTTGCTGGGGGCCCTAATATAACCCAACATATGGGTTGAACATTGTTTGCATTATACAGTGAATTTATAATTATATCTATCATGGATATGCCAGGAATTGTGGTTGGTGAGCATGACATAAATAACCTATGTTATGCTGATAACACTGTCTTGACAGCGACAGAAAGAACTACAGGAATTGATAGATGCGGTGGTGGTAGAAAGTAGTTCGATGGGCGTCAGTTTGAATAATGGAAAGACAGAAGTAATGGTGATTTCCAAGAAAAGAATAGTGCTTAAATGTATAATAACAGTCAAATACGTTATTTTAGGACATGTGCAGACACGTAATTATCTAGGCACATGGATAACATCCGATGGAAGATGTATCACAGAGATAAAGAATAGAATCGGACAGGCCAAAACTGCATTTTACAAAATAAAGAACTTTTTCTGCTATAAATCCATATCATTGGAGGTTAGGAAAAGAATTCGCACATGCTATATAGAGCCAATTTTGGCATACGGCTGTGAAGCCTGGACAATTAATAAACAAGCCGAACAATATCGTGAGGCCGCGGATATATGGTTTTACAGAAGAATCCTTAAAATTCCTTGGATACCTAAGAAGAGCAACCAAGATGTTTTGAAAGAAGTGAATGCTCGAAGACAACTTATCACAAACATGAGAAAGAAACAGTCATAGTTTTTGTTTTTGTTTTTTTGGTCATGTTATAAGAAGAGCAAACATGGAACATGTTGTGACCACTGGGAAAATCTGTGGAAAAAGAGACAGAAGAAGATAGCATGAAAAGATTTTTGACAGTCTTTTGTCTTGGCATGGAGGGGTGTGAACACACGTAATTGATACACGCAGATGCAGATCGCCAGTTTGTAGAGAGGCATGACTGCCCACGCCAGTCGACTAGTCACTTGATGATGATGGGTTGAACGTGGTTTCTGTGACCTCTTCATGGGTGATCCTCCTCCGAATAATGGCACTTTGTGACACCGGGTGTTTATCGCTCAATGTGATGTCCTGGTTTGGTCGAACATCAATCAGAACGGGGCGATAACCCAATGTTTGAATTTGGCTGGTTAATTTTGTGCATTATCTTTCCTAACTTTGACACAAGATGGCTGCGCCCATCACATGAAGTACTAGCAGACAACGTCTTCGGTGACATTAGAGACTAGTCTGGTGTTAATTTAACAGGTATTTGTGCGATTACTTCAACAGCCAAAATAATTGATCACTTACAGCCAATTTATACCGAATCCTGCATTAATGCTGACATAAATAACTCAAGATTTAGATTATAAATAGATTCGGATTATTTATGAAGTTGATGAAGACGATATTATAGAGTGTTGTGAAAAGAGTTCAAAAGACTTTATTTTTTAATTTTTAACGTATCCAGAAACCATGAGTTGTAAACCCTTTGGCTCGGTACTATGGATATCGCAACCCTTCGGCATTGATTCCATTATAGGTACCGTTAATCTGGGAGAAATGTGTTCGTCACCCGGCCGCCGCGAAAGTCAGCTTTGGTAAAGACTAAACTTCACTAAACTTTAGTCAACTTTAGTAAAGTTTCGGCAGCCAAAGTTTCAATTTAGGACCAGCCGGAGTTTAATAAAATCAGAACTGTCTCACAAATTCAGATAAACTGTATACGCTGTTACTGTAGTCTATGCCCATTTATGATTATATAGAACATCAGGCCACAAAATGACGTAGACGATTTCTACATTTGGCTATCCGGCTATCCTTCGAATAATGGTCCCAAATTATCGAGGATGAAAATATACCCTAACAGGGCCTCAGTCATGTGTCAATTGCAAACTTCCGCCACCGCCAAGAGTATCCCCCATGCCGTTCATGCGGCGTGGATTGGGGCTAAACTAGATGGCTGGGACTCACAAGCAGCAGCTACCGCATCTCCTGCAGCTTCCTTCATTTTATTTGCTCGTGAGTCCCAGCCATCTAGTTTAGCCCCAATCCACGCTACGTGAGCGGCGTGGGGGATACTCTCGGCAGTGACGGTATAGTCCCCGGAAGTACGCAATTCAGTGGTGGCAGATAGTCCCCGGAAGTCCGCAATTGACAAGTGACTGAGGCCCTGTTAGGGTACATTTTTTTCCTCAGATGCTCATAACAAGGCCCTAACATGGTCGTTATGGTTATAAACCATAAGTCCTCTGCCACCAGTACGGACAGCTGATAAAAAAACTGTCCGCTTGTGTCGCCGTCCGCACGCAACTCTATAGCTACAGCGACGTTCTTCCATTTACCCCAGAGTGTTAACTCTGGTACCTATTTCCTAGAGACTGGGTGAACCCCTGGCAACCGTCTGGTTTCGAACACCGGCCGTGGGTGCAGCGAGTCGCAGCTGGATTTGAAAGCGAGTCTCCCATTGACTGCGGCCTCGTTTGATTACACCTAAGGATATAGTGAATGACACTTGTGTATCTAGGTAACAGTAGTAACTGATTTTGGAAATGAAAAGTTATTTCTTTATTAAGCTGATACATGTGGGGAAAATATGGTGACGGTAAAAAAGATAGATGAATATTAATGACTGATTTTGGTACGGAAATGAGAGGAAGCCCAGGGCTAAACTGGTGATGATGGTAATTAAACTGATTATTAAGTGGTGATGATGGTAACTGAAATGAATAACAAACAAAATGATGATATTGTTAGTGATGAATAATATAAATACTTTTAATTTTTATCAACTTCCACATTGTCTTAAGCGTTGTGGGTAGGAACCATTTTCAGTCCAGTGTCTAATGAGTGGCACTAGCCGTAGTTATTCTTGTGGACCTGGAAAGGCAAAACCAGGGGCAGCAAATGCCTGCAGAATTTGGATGTGTCAGCCAAAAGGCTCAGATATCGCGGCGATGTTGTAGATGGGCGCAACGCTTTTCCATCTTTGGATGAACGTGGAAGAAGGAGGAAAAGTACATTCAGTTTGGATATGTAATTCCTATGATGTCTTGAACCCATCTGATACTTTGGATACCCTAAAAAGTATGATCAGGATTATGAGATGGTATTGAAAGTGACAGATCCAAAGGGTTTTTCTAGAAGGGGATTGTAGTGGATGTTTAAAAAGCTAGTTTCTTATCCTTAAAGGATATTGCAAGGACCCAAGCATTTATGGACAGTTTTGTTTCACTAGGCCGTTTTATGTTCAGTAGTTTACCATAAAGATTTTTCCTTTTTGCTTTCTGTTTCTTATATTTAAGTTATCGTGTTGTCTCCATGAACTGACATGTCAGCAGCTAGTCTCCAAGGGCCACCATTTTTTTCTGGATGGATTTTCCCACTGGCCATGTGTTTTTTTTACAGGTTTTATAGCTGGGGGGGGGGCAGTTCATATGTGTGATTTGGCAGGGACAAGGGGTGGGGGTGACTGCGTTTTGTTGTGTGCATGAAGTCTGCAGTGTCCATTGCTTCTCAGTGGTCAGCTCTCCATATCATTGTTCATATTAGTGCAGAGTGGCTGCTACCAGTTTACCTGCAGCTGAATGGAACCAGGTTTTTTAAATGAGGATTGATTTGTTAATCATTTTTTTGCATTTCTGTGAATAGAACAGATTTTTTAGTTAATATTAAAGCTGAACATTCAAAGTGATGTAGTCATCATCATCATCATCATCATGTAGCAGGTCTTTTGCAGAACGGTGCTATCATTACTGTCTGCCTGAAAGAAACTCTGTCTTTTTCCAGCTCTCCCACCTTGTGCATTTTCTTAACCAAAGGTGTCACTTATATCTTGTGCCCATCTCCATCTTCTTACTGGTCGAGCCCTGCCTCTCTTTGCTGGTACCATGTCTGTTGCTATTATTTTTTCCAATCTGCCCTGACCTTCTTCATTATTTAATATAAATAATTATATTCTGATCACCTATTTATGCTGTGTATATATATATATATATAAATTAATTTTTTCCCCCACATACACAGACATAAAGTATCTAGAATGTCATGATTGTGGACTCATTCTTCCATCTAAAAGATGAGGGTTATGACAAAAGTTTTGGCAGGTAAGTGTTAATTGGTTTAAAAAAAATTACGCAACCCTTTTCCCACCTGGGTAATGCATCAGGCATTTTTTAAATTGGTCAATCAAGATTTGATGATTGATGTGGTCAGCATCACACTGGCGATCTTTACTTCCCAGGAAATTACCTATCACCCATTTTAACCTGGGTCAGCCTGAGAGCCAAGGTCAGTTCTCTAATAAATCCCCACTGGATTTGAGAGAGAATGCCCATCATTAGTAAACTGTTTTTTAGTTTGATTATTTCATTAATTAGTTAATTGGTCCGAAAGTTGGTTCATTGGTTGGTTGATAAGACCATAGGTGGTTTTATTGGTTTGTTCATAGGTTGGTGGCACAGTGATTTCGGTCACAGGAATAAGGGAAAGTTAAGGCCATTGGGATGTGCATGAGTTACTTGGTATCTCACCTTGGGTGTCAGCCGGCTCTTGATTGGTTTTACAGATCCTCATGCAAAAACAAAGTCCCAAATGTCTGACGGCACCAGAGTGTGAGACCTAAAAGCGGGTGAACGAAAAGAATAATAATAAATTAATTGGTTGGTTGTTGATTAGCACACAACTGAATGTGTTGTAAGAACAACTTAGGCATGACAAACTGGTTCCACGTTTCATCTGGGGTAAGACTAGGGGGTATACAGTCACCACCCTTGTTTATCATCTGTATGGATATGATAGCTAAAGAAGCAAACCCCCACCAGAAGGATTAAGATGAGCAGATATTTGCAGATGATCATGTCCTGTTCTGCCAAGATAAGGATAACCTCCAATACCACATTAACAACTTCAACACCTATTGCAAGAAAAATAATATGAAAATAAATTCTAAAGAAAAAAAAAAAACAACAAAGAAATAATGACAGTAAATAGAACATCACTTCAACCTATCACTACTGTTGAAGGAGAGACATTAAAACAAGCTAAGGTCAATTCACTGAGGATGGGAGGATTGGGTAGAGAAATAAAAAAAAAACAGAATTTACAGAAGGCCAGCAACATAACCAAATAGCACCACTTTTAAGGCATCAAAATATCAACATACACACACAAAAAAGCAGCTAATAAATGCACTATTTGTACCAGTTTTGTTTTATCAGTGTAAACATGGACAGTCCTAGAAAATCATAAGCATACAATTACATGTAGATGAGATGTATAAGAAATGTGGTTGGAAAAACAAGTCACCAACAAATAACTGTGGTGGACACAGTACTGGTAAATTATTTCATAGAAAATCAAAGAATCAAATGGTTTGGTCATCTGGTCAGAATAGAACAAAATCAGCCAGCAGCTATAGTGTGCTATATGAGAACAGCAGGCTACAAGGCAAGAGGCCGACCAAGAAAGAGAGAAGTAAAAGAGACAGACAGTTTTTCTTAAAATATATTAATGGAGGAATACTCCAGCTTTTACACTTGCGTTTATTTCCCAGGTGTTTCCATTGGGCTGTCTGGAATTGGATATATAGCTCTTGATGTGACACATTATCGAACTAATCCAGACCAGAGCTTTCTGGATGCAGCAAAGCACTATGTGGTTCTCCGCAGCATGGCCATATATGGAGAGCTGATGAAAAATAAGTTGGAAGAAGCAACTAGAAATATAAAGAAGGCACAAACAGATTTTCTGATGAATCAACTACAGGCCAACTTGGATACAGAATACAGCAGAGAAATGAAGGTAAGCATCTGGTGCTGGTTATACTAATGCTTGAATTGAGAACTGACATCTGACTTTGGACATTCCCTCATCTGCACCTCCCCTTCTTCAGCAGTTAATGAAGAGTTCACATGCTGATGATGCCAGTGGCAGTATGATTACAAGCACACTTATCTTCTTGTCTGTGTGTTGAGTGTTGTATCTTCTCTTTTGTGTGTTGAGTGTTGCATCTTTTCCTATGTGTGTTGTATCTTCTCCTCTGTGTGTTGAGTGTTTATCTTCACCTCTGTGTTTTGAGCATTGTGACTTCTCCTCTGTGTGTTGAGTGTTGTATCTTCTCCTCTGTGTGTTGAGTGTTGTATCTTCACTTCTGTGTGTTGAGTATCTTCTCCACTGTGTGTTTAGCATTGTGCCGTCTCCTCTGTGTGTTGAGTGTTGTATCTTATCCTCTGTGTGTTGAGTATCTTCTCCTCTGTGTATTGAGTGTTGTATCTTCTCCTCTTTGTGTTAAGTATTGTACCCTCTCCTCTGTGTATTGAGTGTTATATCTTCTCCTTTGTATGTTGAGTGTTGTATCTTTTCCTCTGTGTGTTGTATCTTCTCCTCTGTGTATTGAGTGTTTATCTTCACCTCTGTGTTTTGAGCATTGTGACTTCTCCTCTGTGTGTTGAGTGTTGTATCTTCTCCTCTGTGTGTTTAGCATTGTGTCTTCTTCTCTGTGTGTTGAGTGCTGTATCTTCTCCTCTGTGTGTTGAGTATCTTCTCCTCTGTGTATTGAGTGTTGTATATTCTCCTCTTTGTGTTGAGTATTGTACCTTCTCCTCTGTGTGTTGTATCTTCTCCTCTGTGTGTTGAGTGTTGTATCATTTCCTCCTATTTTGAGTGTTTTATTATGTTCTCTGTGTGTTGAGTGTTATAACTTCTCCTGTGTGTGTTGAGTGTTGTATCTTTTCCTCTGTGTGTTGAGTGTTGTATCTTCTACTCTGTGTGTTGAGTGTTGTATCTTCTCCTCTGTGTATTGAGTGTTATATCTTCTCCTCTGTGTGTTGAGTGTTGTATCATCTACTCTGTATGTTGAGTGTTATATCTTCTCCTGTGTATGTTGAGTTTTATATCTTCTATAAATGTTGAGTGTTATATCTTTTCCTATGTGTATTGAGTGTCATATCATGTCTTCTCCTCTGTGTATTGAGTGTTATATCGTCTGCTTTGTGTATTGAGTGTTGTATCTTCTTCTCTGTGTGTTGACTATTATATCTTCTCTGTGTGTTGAGTGTTATATTTTCTACTCTGAATATTGAGTGTTATATCCTCTCAGGTAATGCAAGCCACTGTGCTCATAGCCTTTCAGTTTCTCTTTCCTGGAACATGACATGTTAATTTGTTATACATAGAATGTGTCAGACTATACCACCCTCTAACCTTAGAAAGCTGCTCTTACCGCCTGTATCTCCATTGTAATTCTGCATGTTAGGACATTATACATGAGGCTCTCTCTTTATTTACTTATTTTTAATTAGAGCAAAACCCATTCATCTTCGCAGTAAAACTTCACCACCTTTTGTTACCTCTCACCACAGAGCCATCTGTGTTGACAGTCGTATAGTCCTAGGTATGGATTTTTCTGAATCAGCTGTTGCACTGATGCCTGAGTGTTAAGAAAGATGGAGACAGGCATTCTCCGTCCAGAGTGGTATGCATGGCTTCAGGGGTCCCAGGTCATTAATATACTTTGGATATTTTCTCTGTTGTATGCAGGTGTTTTAGGAAATGAAGAGGCAGACAGACTGGTTGGTTCTGCCCCAATGGGTGGTTAATATGTACATGAAAAGCTAGATGTAGCCAAGGCCCTTTGGGAGAATGTGAACAATCAAGCGACAAGAATCGATCTGGATGGACTGTTACAGCTGGGAGTGACCTGGGATCTGGATGACACTCTACTCTCAGAGGAAAGACAAAACTGACATATAATCAAACTGCTACTGGCACAGTCAGAATTAGAACACTTTTCTGGCTGTTGAAGATGAGGATGGAGCACTTAAAAGAAGGTCCTGAGTGCTGTTATGTCAATTCTTAGCTCAACACTCAACATTCAGCTGAGTGTCACTGGTTTTCCATTCTTGACATCCTCTGTTCAAAGTACTTGTTGGTTCATTATTGAACTTGCACTGTCTTATCAATACCACAAAACATTTCCGAGGGTAATTTCCAAACCTCTGCAATGGTAAATCCCAAATTATTCCTGATTTAAAAATAGACATTATTGCATAAAACTGTATAACATTCGTCGAACATTGAACCATTCGTAAGCTTTTGTTCATATAGTCTTTAGAATGTCTGGCTTATCCATAATGAGTGTTTTTATTTCTGTCACTTTTGCAGCCAACAGATCCACTCATTTATTGCCTCACATTTCTGCACATCCCAGACAGTGTATCCGCATCAGTTTCTAATGTTCAATATCTCAAAAGATTGCTGTTACATTTCACATAATATATTTGAGCTGTTTATGCTCATTTTCTGTATCATTCACTCAGCTGGATGAGGTGAGAAGTGTCAAGGATTTCCTGAGGACTCACCCCCTGACCACCTACTCAGACTACTCAAAAAACATCAGCAGAATGATGAGTGGGGAGAAGAAAGTGCTCACATCCAGCTCTGTTGACATCTTTGCTGTCACATCTGGCACGTCTGGTGCTAGTAATATTATTCCTGCAGTGTCGAAACAGACAAGAATATTTTTTTCACAAGTGAGCCTTTTTATATTATTTTATGCTTCTCTGTTATTTTATGCTTCAGTAGTCAGCAGCTGTGTTTTGGGGATTGTGAAGGCTGTAATGATTCGAATTTAGAGATTATGGTTAGAGGTCAGATGAAGCAATAGCTCACATAAATAATGGGTAGGATTTGAGGCTTGCATTGGCCAGACGGGAAAACCCTGACTTGCGCCTGGTCAACTCCCTTTGTGAACTTCAGCTTTATTAGCTGATTGCCTGCTGTGGATGGTGGACAGTAGTTGCTGTGTTTAATTAGTTGGTTGCTGGATTTATATTTGAAAGGTTTAACTTATTTATGATACCCATTTAGGCTGAGTCAACCTAGAGGCTTAGGTCAATAAAAAAAACAATAAAAAATAAAGAAAACATCAGCAATGATGCAGAATGGAACCTATGTTCACTGGGCTGGTGGGCACGCATTTAACCACTGAGCTACTACTACTCCCAGTTTATAAATAGGAATCAGTGTTGTATCGTAATCACTATTTGCATTGTAGGAAAATAATAAGGTCTGTCTTCTTCATCTGCTTTTTTGCGTTCCGTATAAATTCCTGCAGAAATTTATGGTTGTTCATCCAATTCTTGACTCTAATCCTGTTCCAGAACTTGAATATTGCTTGCATGTTTTCCCAACAATAAGGCCCTGGAATCCATACAGAGAATAAAAAAGACAATTGTTATGCCAGTCAGAACAAGACTGCATTATGCCGTATGAATAACTTGAGTACATTCATGCAGAGCTTTCATAGTTAATTATGTATAGTCAACAAAGTTAATTCATTTGTCTAAGTAACAGATCATGTCCTCCAAGACTGTCCCAAATACAACATATCAAGGCAAAACTTTAGGCCAAGAGAAACATCGGTGTTCAAACTGTACGGGTCAATGAGTGAATTACAAAAGACAGTGAAGTACATACTAGAGACAACATTGCAGATATAGATAATTTATTTTAAGCGAACGAAAGAAGAAGAAAAAGAAGAGTTTAAATAAGTCTTTAAAATATTTATTTCTTTGTACCAGTATCATTACAGTGAAACCTTGGTTGTTAAACTCAATTCATTCTCAGAATTTGTTAGGAAACCAAGTTGTTTGGAAACTGAAACCATTTGCTCCTTAAGAATTAATGTTAAGTGTATTAATTTATTTCTGAACTCAGGTGATTATTGATATATTTTAACCTTTATAACAATACTTTATACTTAAAACTGTATGGGAAAAAACAATGAACTTTAATATAATGTAAAAGGTGCTTACCCTAACAGATAAGTTCAAACACATGAACAACAACCCCATGCACAGAATGGCAAACAACTTAACTAAAAACCAACTGAAAAGACAAAGCTTTCACCATCTATCAAAATTGTAATACGCGAACAAAACAGTGGCATCCTTTCTAAAATAATTCAGTCATACAGCATAGACCTGCAGCCTAACTATACAGTCACAATAACAATCCTAGGCATAGACAGAAAGGCTAAAAAATGTGACCTAGTACTGCATGCAGAGACCCTTGAACATGTCTACAATTCTTATCCAAAACCTGAATGGACATAAGTATACAACGATGGATCATTGGAGGGAGCAGAAAAAAATTGGGGAGCTAGATCGGTCATCATGCTGCAAGACGGGACCACAGTAGAAACAGCATGCGCATCATGCATGCAAACATGCACACACAATGAATGTCGATTATTATTACCAACAAAAATGTAATCTTTACCTGAGGGCGGGAAAAAGCTGATGTCATAAATAAAAGTCCTGCTGCTAATAAAAAAAATTTAAATTTCTTCCATTGTAAGCTCCTTTTTGTGGTCCTCTACCAGCTTCTCCATATGAACACTTTCAACTTCCTGGCCAGTGCTTTTACCCAGAGACACACATTATAATAACAACAGACTGACCCAAAGCCTGCAGTGCTTTTATCCAGACACACACATTATAACAACAGACTGACCCAAAGCTTGCAGTACTTTTATCCAGACACACACATTATACAAACAGACTGACCCAAAGCCTGCAGTGCTTTTACCCAGAGACACACACATTATACCAACAGACTGACCCAAAGCCTGCAGTGCTTTTACCCAGAGACACACATTATAATAACAACAGACTGACCCAAAGCCTGCAGTACTTTTGCCCAGACACACACATTATAATAACAACAGACTGACCCAAAGCCTGCAGTACTTTTGCCCAGACACACACATTATAATAACAACAGACTGACCCAAAGCCTGCAGTACTTTTGCCCAGACACACACATTATAATAATAACAGACTGACCCAAAGCCCGCAGTGCTTTTATCCAGACACACACATTATACCAACAGACTGACCCAAAGCCTGCAGTGCTTTTATCCAGACACACACATTATAATAACAACAGACTGACCCAAAGCCTGCAGTGCTTTTATCCAGAGACACACATTATAACAACAGACTGACCCAAAGCCTGCAGTGCTTTTATCCAGACACACACATTATAATACCAACAGACTGACCCAAAGCCTGCAGTGCTTTTATCCAGACACACACATTATACCAACAGACTGACCCAAAGCCTGCAGTACTTTTATCCAGACACACACATTATAATAACAACAGACTGACCCAAAGCCTGCAGTGCTTTTATCCAGACACACACATTATAATAACAACAGACTGACCCAAAGCCTGCAGTGCTTTTACCCAGACACACACATTATAACAACAGACTGACCCAAAGCCTGCAGTGCTTTTACCCAGACACGCACATTATAATAACAACAGACTGACCCAAAGCCCGCAGTACTTTTATCCAGACACACACATTATAATAACAACAGACTGACCCAAAGCCTGCAGTACTTTATCCAGACACACATTATACCAACAGACTGACCCAAAGCCTGCAGTACTTTTATCCAGACACACACATTATACCAACAGACTGACCCAAAGCCTGCAGTGCTTTTACCCAGACACACACATTATAATAACAACAGACTGACCCAAAGACTGCAGTGCTTTTGCCCAGAGACACACATTATACCAACAGACTGACCCAAAGCCCGCAGTGCTTTTACCCAGACACACACATTATACCAACAGACTGACCCAAAGCCTGCAGTGCTTTTATCCAGACACACACATTATAACAACAGACTGACCCAAAGCCGGCAGTGCTTTTGCTGTACAGTCTGACCACAGTTTTCATCAGGCCAGGTTCATGGTCTTGTATCAAATCCTTCATCATTATTACCACCAAACCTAAAGGTTGAGCAAGGACATTGAAAGAGAAAATCATGAAAAACCACTGCATGCCTAAGAACAGGAATCTACACTAAGTAAAAGTTGCTCTTTCCGTGAAGTACATGGTTGGCCGTTTAGCAGTCCAAGCTTCTGTTCGGAAACTGAGACTTTTTATTTTCTCCTCAGAATTCTTCTGAAACTGAACTGTTCCAGAATGGAGACTTTCGAGAACCCCGAACCACTATATATGTTTATTCCATGCCTTGCTAGAACATAGGCAATAGGCATTATGGACAATAATAAATCCTGAATGTCATACACTAACAAATAGTGTTAGAATAAGTAGTCATCACTGAAACATTTTTTAAAATCCACACGTAAAATATATATTGCTTTATTTGTATTGTTGTTTCTATAACTCTATACAGTCTTTATGAATGTATTGCCTACTTTGTTAGGGTGTGTCGGTGATGCTCCGATGCATGCTGGATGCCTACCCAAACACCAAGCATTTGAATAAAGTGTTCAGGATATTCTACACCCCAAACTGGCGCTACACCATGGATGGTGTACCAATAGGACCTAATGCACCATCACCCGACAGGTCTGCATACGTTTATAAAAACAAGTATAAAGTACATGAATCATCATTTCAGGCACACACAAAAACACATTACTGTTGTAATATTTCACATTTTCTTTTTTTTTAACAGAGGTGTTTTAAATTAACTTTAACATTAAATATCCTATGAAGTTTAAAATCAGGCAATACTGCAATCAATCAATCACCCTGTCCTTTACAGAACGTTGCCCTCTTCACGGCACACCTGATGTCTCTTTCTGTAGCCAATTCTCCAGCCATGTAAACTTTCATAGCCAATGCAACTCTAATGTCCTATATCCACCTTCAAGCCAGTCGGCCTGTACCTCATTTTCCAGAAATTGCACCCTCTGTTGTCTCCAAACCACCATGGAAGTACTTAGCCATGAGCAGTACTTACAATATTATAATAGGCAAGGTACTCACTATAGCAGTGATTACCAAACTGTGCACCGCGGCGCCCCAGGAGCAGTGACCTCTTCACAGTGGCGCACCAAAATATTCGAAGATACACAAGTTTTATTTTTTTGTTATCTCTTACATGCGAATAGTCATACTTTTACTTGGGTTAGGGTACCGTGGACACATTTTTATTGACAAAAGGTGCCACGACTAAGAAAGGTTTGGGAAACACTGCCCTATTGTATGAATTATTGTGCCTTGCTTTGTATGACAAGTCTGATCACTATTATATATTATTACACTGATAATCATTGAACAGTTGGCAGTAAGAGTTGAAAAAAAAATATGGAAAACAAGTTTTCATGAATTCAGTCATATTGGTTAAATGGGTGGTGAAGTCGTTAATATGCCGTCGCCTTTATTGTTATGTCTCAGAACATTTCTTCGTACATATTTTAGACCAGCTGACCTTTACGCCAGATAAGTTTTAATTTAAAAAAATCCTTATCTTGATTAGAATTAAAATATATACATCCCCTGAGCCAACAGACAAGCTCAGGAACGAACTAAAATTTGACATAATAGGTGTTACAGAAAGATAGATGATAAATGACTGTAGGACTGAGAAATAGACATAATGGTAAATAATGTTGAAAAAACAGTAGATTCAAGACTAAAATTTGACCTTTAAGTTATGAGTTAGGTTTTCCTTAATCCAGATGCGTACATTGATACTCAGATTCCCTCAGCAAATACATCAGTGTTTAACACTGCCGGTTTTGAGGTGAATCTTCCTAGGGAAAAGGGATTAACTTTAACTTTCCCTCATGCCTGTGATGCAAATCACAGCGCAAGGAAATTTCATCTTACATCAGACCTGTTGAACCCCTGTGTGGGTTCCATGATCCCATTGCAAGGGAAAAATAATAGACCCACTGCCTCCCGAACAATCACGTCGTAAGAGTAGACTAATTAAGGATTTCCTTTGAAATCAGAGTGCATTTGCCTGAGAGGCAGGGAACAAACAATCTGCATAAAAATAAGCAAAATCTGTAAAACTGATGGGCTAGTAAAACTCAAGTTCTGAAAAAAGACAAAAAAATGGATGAACGACCAGAACTTTCTGCCAGAGTTTACAGGTGGTGATGAAGAAGAAGATCTACTGAAATGTTGCTGATGGTTTCTAAGCACATGAATGTTCCTGACACCTTCAACAGTTTTGTACAGCTGATTTATTCCCACAGGTCCACCTGGCTTCATCACATGTACACAACACCATCAGCTGTCTATGAGATCAGGTCCGAGCCACCAGCTCTGTACCTCTACCTCCTGTTTGCCTTACTGGACCCACATGTGGGAATGATAGAAGCCAATTTCTCCACTGGGATCTTCAATGCATTTGCTACCTTGGAGCTGAAGCTTGCACAGCTCACCACAGACATTGAACTTGGGAGAATAGACCCTGACTTGAAAATTGACCACGTTCTAAGGAAAAAACTCAATAGTTTGCTGGTACCAAACCCAAAACGAGCCAATGAAATCAGAGAGGCAGCAGAGTTGGGCAAAGACAATTTGGCACAGAGGATATGGCCAGAGCTCTGTCTTCTGATAGCTGCAGATACTGGGACATTTGATTTATATGCTACGAGGCTGCGAGAAAGTTATTGTAAAGGTATAATTAATTTGTGTTTTTGGTTTTTACAGTCCACTAGCACACAGACACTCACTCATCCACACAAATGAAAAAACAATTGTTGTTTTTATTTTAGCCTCTAGAAGTGACATTTTTATTCTGCCTTATGTGTAGCAGTTTGTTTACTGGTCTCTTTCAGCAGAGTATCTGTTCACTCACTGTTGCAAAAAAGGGAGTGGATAGATGCTTTTGGGATAAGTAGAAATTTTCCCTCAACACTTCACCTCCACTAGAGACTTGAACTAATATCTGAGCTATGTCGATCTCAGACAAAGTAAATTAACAGTAGCTGCACTTGGTACCCACAGGAGAAGGAAAGGGGTTTTAGATGTCTATGTTATTATAATTATTGAATTATTAAACAGGGCAAGTGACCCCTCCCAACTACCTCCTCCTGGTAAAGAATTATTATTTTTAATGAGCTCCCACCAAATGCTGTTCTATCTTAACAGTTTAATTAAACATGCAAGAACAAACACACTTGGAATTACAAAAACTGATGCAGGGTAAGACCATATATTTGATTTATTTACCTAGCAACCAGTTATATGACATTAGTCATTTCTATTATTTTATTAACCATTGATGGTATGATGGTAATAGGATGCTTCAGCTAGAGAACTGAGCACCTAAGATTAGAGGGAAGTTATAATGGTGGTGATAAGTTTACGAACATAAATAAAACACGTAACTTTGAATTTATAAAGTGGAACCTCAGAGATCTCTCGTGTTGAGGCCCTTTTTAGCTTTTCCTAGCTGTTCCACCTTTTCCAGCTTCTTGTTTGCCGGTTCCTGCCTCGTTCTCCTGCCTGTCCCTGTCTCGTTCTTCGCCTGTCTCTGCCTCGTTTCCAGCTTGCCGATCTCTAACCCAATGTAGATTCATGCATGTGGACCCTCCGTTTCTGTTATCAGAAATGACTGGTCCTTACCCCCACGGGAGCTGTAATAATTGAAACAAACACATATGTTTAGTATCTAGACTTACACTAAGAATGCATATACATTACACACACACACACACACACACACATGTGTACATATATATATATATATATATATATATATATATATATATACGCATATATATATACGCATACGCACGCATATACGCATATATATATATATATACATATATTTATATACATACACATAATAATAATAATAATAAAATATATCTCATCATTCCTCCTAATACTCCACATACTCTCCAGTCTTGTATGAAGGTTTTGTGTCTTACACTGACGTCTAACATGTACTGCCTTCCCTCTCATGTTCTGTCATGATAGTTGACTTCCTAAGTCTGTTGTCTGTCTTCACTCAGACTTCCAACTGGCTGACATTGTTTTGACATGACCATGTGGCGCAGGTTATGTGCTAAACACCCAAAACATTTTACATGTGCACACTGTCCTGAATATTATCTTTCCAGTGACAGTGAATTCTATACACACATGATTCTTCCCCTGGAGTTATCAATCCCCTGTTAAGGTGAACATATTTAGTGAGCACATGGCCGCACATGTGGGCATCATTTCCCCACAGTCCAGGCTCATGTTTTGGTTGGTGATTATTCTTCTTCTTCTTCTCCTTCACTTCCTCTTTTACCGTTGTGGTGTCGAGGGAGATATAAGGTTATGTCTCTAGCTCTTCTGGCCGCCTCGACCATAGGCACATCATGCTGTTGTAGAGTTTCTCTGATGTTATCCTTCCATCTTGTTCTTGGTCTACCTCGTGCTTTATGTCCTTCTTCTCTTTCCATGTATGCTTTGTATGGTATGGTGTCACAAGGCATTCTCTCTAAGTGGGCAAACCATTTCACCTGCTGTCTTCGTATGTAATTTAGAATTGGTTCTGTGCCGACTTTTTCTCTCATGATCTCATTCCTGATCTTATCTCTTATGGTCACTCCTACAGCCCTTCTCAGACATCTCATCTCCATGGTTACTAATTTTCTTTTATGGTTTGTTGTGAGTGACCATGTCTGGCACTGGTAGCACAGAGTTAGAATAAATATGCTTTGGTTGATGATTGAAACATTATAATTTGGTTCTGTGCCGACTTTTTCTCTCATGATCTCATTCCTGATCTTATCTCTTATGGTCACTCCTACAGCCCTTCTCAGACATCTCGTCTCCATGGTTACTAATTTTTTTTATGGTTTGTTGTGAGTGACCATGTCTGGCACTGGTAGCACAGAGTTGGAATAAATATGCTTTGGTTGATGATTGAAACATTATAATTTCATTACATTTCAGTATATAAGTCTTTTTTTATAAACATGAAAACATACATTGAAAAACATGTGCTACAAACATACAAGAAATAGGAATGGTTTAGCAGTTCCCTAACTGAGATAACTGAATACTCACAAAGAACTATTTCAAGCAAATATGTAGAAAAATCAGGAACGGTAGAGTAGATTTAGCTAGGCTCCTAACCTATGATTAAAATATTGAAAAATAATATACACTCATACCTGGGAACATTCCAGCAAATTGCCAAACAAGATTCAGACAGCTAGAATTACTTTCTACTGTTGGTCTGAGTTTGAGGCCTGCTGGCAGCAATATGAAGTAAAGTCAAGATGCCTAGCAGCAATCATGTGTACCCTTATTTCTCTGCAAAGTTAAACTCCTCCCCTTTTCTAGTTTCTAACCTACCCTACAGGAGAGAATCTAAGCCACGCTCCTTAGGTACCTTGCAGATCAAATTAGCTATCAATGTGCCTGTCAGTCACTTTTGACTGCCCCTACTTAGATCAAACATTACTAATTGAGCAAATCTAGTTTACAGCCACTCTCACTGACAGGTGTGAAACACCGGTTCAGGAAATGCCGTCATGTCTGGAGTTGTCTCCTAGACCAAGTTAATTCCCCTGATCTGGTATGTTCAGAAGGCCCCAGTCAGGCTGGTTATGTAACATTTTATGACACTATGGTCTTTAGCCTGCAGTTCAAGGAAGATAATCTCAGGTGGGATAATTAGTTTTATGACCAGTTGCCTGCCCCTAAGGATCTCTGGTCAGGAGTAATTATATGACACTCTGTCTGGCTTGTGGAACGACTAGCTAGATAAGGTAATGTCGGGTAATCTTAAACCGAGCTTAGTTACTTTGGCTAAGGACTGGAAACCGTTTTAAATCCCATGTGGTTTTAGTAATTTTTAGGCTTAGTGCATAGTAAATATAATTCTTTGTCTCTCTATGAACATAAGAAATAATTAAACATAATATAACTTCTGAGGCCACTGAAGTCCATTCTGTCACACTCACTCAAAACACAACAGCTCACATGACAATCCCCAAGGGTTGCACAAATGTGTGCACCACATACCCAGGCCCACAGCGGATCAGACAGCCTAATCAGTCAACCACAGAGACATTAAAATCATTTATAGATCACGAAGCAGATGTTTCTTTGTGTACATACTCACAGAATGTTGAAATTTCTTTCTGCGAGAGCAGTACCCCTATTGGGTGGATTGTCCTAGCTATTGGGCCCATAAAAACATCATCTGCCTAGTACAGTTAAAGTGGTAACCAGTTCTGAAAACATTTTAACTGCTCACTACATTTATTCTTCACCTACCTGCCATGGCATGCACTTCTGGCAGAAGGGGGTAGGGGGGAGGGGTCTTGTGTGGATACTGTGTCCCGCAGGCGAGCAAAGGTGAGTTTTTATTAACTATTTACAGCCAGTCCTGGTGTGTGGAAGTGAATCTTGGCCAGTAAGCCAATTAGTGAAAAATCAAATGAAGGCTACAGAGATGTGGTTTTTGTAGACAGTGGAGAGATACAAAAGTGGAATCCCGATTCTTGAAAGAAATTAACTCACAGAGGTAATGATTACCCACATTCTGTAGGACATCATAAAAAGGAGAAAACTGGAATGTATTTTGACACAGAAAAATTTGAGAAAAAGAGAGGCAGAGGAGACCAAAGCAAGAAGATGATGGAGAGTTTGGCATTCGTTGTCATCCTGAAGCAAACCCTTTGCAGAATGTTGCTCTCAACATGGTCTCTCTGGAAGTAGCTTTATCACCTCTGTTCCTCCATACTGGCGGCATGCCTTCTGCTATTATGTTTTTTCCAAGCCATGGCGCTTGATATGGCTAAAATATTTCAGCTTCAGAGAGAAGATGCTGTTTATTAGCCAACTTCCCTAGATGTTCAGATCTTTTAGGATGTCAGTATTTCTTTTCTTCTTTGTCAAAGGTATTCGGGCAATCTTTCTATAGTATTTCAGCTCAAAAGCCACTATTTTCTTCCTTAAGAACTGCAAGATAGTCATTGACACAAAAATGTGTTGCTACATGGGAGATACATGCTCTAGGAATTGTGATTGATTTTTCCCTAAACCATAGACTTTTAATGCTGTTTAGCATTATATCATAGAATAACATCCGCATAATAATTGATTGCCAGACATGAGACAGAGGCCTGTGAATAGACATGATAAACAACACCACATAGTATGGATGATAAGAATAAATTAAATGTTACCAAGCTTGTTACATACTTACTCTTTCTAGGAAACTAAGTTAATATTCTTTGTCCAGGAACTTGAATATGTGTAGTTTATTTGAAAACTTCCAGGTGTGCCACTGTACTCACCTCTGTATGCTGCATCCGAGGGCTTGCTGGGGATCAACATCTGGCCTAAAGAGCTTCCTTCTCACTACCTGCTTCACCCCCATGCTCAGTTCTTTGAGTTTATCCCTGAGCACAACATGGATGAGGAGCAGCCTAACACTTACCTCATGCACCAGGTACTTGTTTATCACTGTATTTAGAAGTATTCCTATTTGTCTTCTTTTGCCTTCTATTCCCTATGGAGAATGGGCCCTATCCAACTCACAGCAAGTCATCCTATTCTTGGCCATTGCATGCAGCTCTCCTCATGTACTCACCAATTTTTTTTAACTTCACTCACTAGCTCCCTTTTCCATGTTTTTTTATATTTTTTTGGGGTCTGTTTATTTCTTTGCCTCTGTGGGTTCCAGTGCAGAGACATTCTAGATTCCTTATCCTCAGGTTTTCCCAACGTATGTCCTATCCAACGCCAGCATCTTTTCCTTCATCTCAGTATTGCTATTACTTTGTGCTAATTATTTCTACTCTCAGCAGTTAATATGCTACTTTTTAGTCTTCTAAGCTTGCATGACTGTATGACTTTTGTGTGTGTGTGTGAGGAGGGGGGGGGAGGGGGAGGTGTTACATTCTTCTCTATACACTGCATATTTAATAATTTTCCTGACAGATTTTAATTTCTGATACCAATCATCATCAAAACCTAGTTGGGCCATTACACTTCTCATGAGATTTGCAGTCTGTTCTGTCCTGTGTAATCTTTTCAATATTGTGGATGGAATTTAATCCAGCACCTTTGGCTTCTCTTATCAACATTCATTTAAGGCTTTCTCTTGGACGACCTCGTTTTCTTAACCTATTTATTTCCCAGTTAAATACCTGTTTGGTGAATCTCGACCCTTTTTTTCTCAGGAATTGCCCAATATAGCGCCATCTTTTTTTAAAAAATCTTATAACTATTGATACCAGAGGTTGTCCAGATTTGTATTTTATTCCCTTGACTTTCTTTAATTCATCCCATTTGATATCTCATGGCACTTGATAATTATGATGTTTTTAAATGTAACTAACTAACTTTTTATTTTTTATTTTTCAGGTAAAGGAAGGCTCCACCTATGAACTAGTTATCACCAATCCGAGTTGTTTGTACCGCTACAGGTTTGGGGATGTTGTAAAAGTGGTTGGCTTCCACAATCAGTGCCCAGTTGTTGAGTTTAAATACAGGTACAGATTTTGTTGTCTGTTTTATTTTCATACTTTTAGCATCGGGGGGCTGAGTGGTCTCGAGATATAGTGTCCACCTCGAGTGCTGGAGGTCCCGGGTTCAAGCCTCGATGAAGGCTGGGATTTTTTCACCTGGACTTCTAGTAATTTTCCCCAGTTTCTGGGAGGTAAGATTGGTGCCTGTGTGTATTCTTGCACACATAAAAAATCCCTTGGCAGTTGGAAATTGAAAAGAGGCGGCGCTGCCCGGGCAAAATTTGAAGTTAAAAATCTACCCAAAGTATTTCAGTGCAACAGAGTTTGTGCACTGTGCTGAGATTCTTCAGGTAGAAGTAGAATGGAGCACTTATGGGTTACACCTATGAGTCATGATGTTGATCCGTCGAATAAACATTAACATTTTTTAGCATACATTTTAAGTAAGATACAAGAGCATTTTGAGTCACTATTTTTGCTCATGAACTTTGGGACAGTAAACAGTTGAAATAACGGGTATGCAGACAATTTGTTTCACTGTTTATTGCCTGGCATATTTTGCTGTAACCAAGAAGAAGAAAATATTGACACCCTACATGATCTGAGCATCAAGGGAAATTGGCTTATAAACAACATCCTGTCCCAGAAGCTGAGGTATTGTCACCATGTTAAACATTATGGTAGCCAGGAAAGAATAGTGATGAAGGCTACAGTTTCTGGAAAATGAAGCAGAGGCAGACCTCCGCAATGGTGAATACAAGACATTGGAGATTCATTGGCTATGAAAGCACATAGGGCAGGAAATTTGACTAGAGGAAGACTTTCAGCTGTGGTGTCATGAGAACACCGTCTATAAACAACTCACTAATTGATAATTTCCATATATTAATCATATGCAAACTACACAATTACATCAACATACACTGAATCATAAAATATGCATCCTTCTGATTGAAATACACAAATTTCATTGATTATTGCTAGATAGTTTGACATTATGGATCAACTGTGTCAGAGTTGATTGAAAGTACATGAGACAGAAAGACATAACTGCCAACATCACACGGCATGGATTTTATTGTTAAAAATAACTACTGCTGTAGAGGTTCTGTTTTTTCATAAGTTTTTTTTTTTTGTGGGTCATTATCCTCACAGAAAAGGTCAGTTCTTAAATGTCAGAGGAGAGAAAGTATCGGAAGCCTTATTCTACGAAATCTTGAAGGGCACGATTACAAAAATTTGGAAAGATATCAAACTGGCAGACTATTGTTGCACAGAAAGCAATATATTGGATACAATGGATGTCCCTGACAGTCAGTATACTGTAATGTTTCGTAACATTTATTTAATTTTTTTGTTTTTCTTTCTTTATGTCTGTCTCTTGTCTCTTATTCCTTAGTAGGTGCTGCTATATTCAAAGTAATTAAACATATAATTTAAGGTAATGTAGAGCTTTTGAAGAGATCTAAAATTCCAGTGAGTCAGGAGCTGAAGAAAAGATGCTGACATTGAATAGGACACTCTGAGAAAACCTGATCACAGTATAACTAGGCTGTTCTTGCACTGGAGCCCACAGGGTCAGAGACATAAAAACAGACCAAAACCACATGGATATGGTTTATGGTTTATACAACAGATCAACATCATGGCACAAGGGTAGTAACCCATAAGTGCTCCATTCTACTTCTGACTCAAGCCTGAGTCTGAAGATTCTCAGCGCAGTGCACCGGCAAAGAAAACCACACGGAGAAGTGAATTGAAAAGTGAAGAGGAAGATTTGAGGTGAGCTGCATGATACAGCAAAGTATAGGACCCCTTGGCATGTGTTTGTTGAGGGTCTGTGTACCATATTGAGATAAAGGGTAAAAGAAGAACTCTTTAGTTACCATTTTTTTATTTGCTCAGTTTGTTTATTTTTTCAGTCAGTGTAGATAAAACCTGTAGCAACATACGCATCTGAGTTGTGGACTATCTCCCAGTACTTAAGAAAGAGATTAGAGGCTTTTGAGCTGAAATGCTATACAAAGATTCTCAGAATATCTTTGATGAGAAAGAGGAGAAATACTGACATCTTGAAAGATCTGAACATCAAGGAAGATTGGCTAATAAACAGCATCCTATCTCGGAAGCTGAAATATTTGGGTCATATCAAGCACCATGACGGATTGAAACATTTTTTAGCAGAAGGCATGGTACCAGGAAGGAGGGGCAGGGGCCGACCAACATGAAGATGGGCACAGGATATAAGTGACTCCTTGAGTATGAAAGTGCATGAGGCGGGAGAGCTGGCGAGAAAACGAGTTCTTCCAGGCAGACTGTGATGAGAGCGACGTTCTGCAAAGGACCTGCTACATGATGTTGATGTAGATAAAACAGAAATTATGACAATACTTAAGAAAAGGAAGAACCACCGATATCAAAATCGATGAACACCAGTTAAAGCAGGCAAAAGGTTTTACATGTCTGGGGAACATATTTTTTTTTCTGCACTCGGAAGGATTAATGAAGAAATTCAATTAAGATGCAGTAAAATCAATCAAGTTTAAGGCCAAATGGCACCAATTTTTGAAATGCAAACATATGAATATAAACACTTAAAGTACACTGTTCAACACTGTATGCTGTCAGTGTCAAACATGGACACTGACTTCAGAAGTTAGAACAAATATAGTCACGGCAGAAATGAAATGTTTACGTACTATGCTTGGTATAAAGAGGTAAGATCGACTTAGGAACAATGATATCAGGAGGAGAGTCGGCACAGAACCAACACTGAACTTGATAGGTAGTCAACAAATCAAATGGTTTGGCCATGTAACAAGATTGGCATCAGACTGGGCACCACAGAGAGCAGTGTTATACAGATACTATGGTAACAGATCCAGAGGTTGACCACACAGAACATGGACCACAGAAATATCAGAAACACTGAAAAGTACTTTATACGAAGCAAACAGAAGGGCTGTTCCAGCGATCTCTGTCTGCTCTGAGGCCGCGAGGCATTCTAGCAGAGAAAAGAAGAAGAAGAAGTGTGTTTGTTTGTTTATCTGTTAGATTGTCTATGTTGGAATTTTTTGCTATATTTTCAACTTGCTTAATACAGCCTTCTGTTAATAACTACAGTCTCTGCTTCTCTGTCTAAACGACTGCCTCTTTGATCACTCTTTTAAACTATGCTACCCCTATGTGACTGCTACCCCTGTGTGACTGCTACCCCTGTGTGACTGCTACCCCTGTGTGACTGCTACCCCTGTGTGACTGCTACCCCTGTGTGACTGCTACCCCTGTGTGACTGCTACCCCTGTGTGCCTTTCGGTGAGCCATTTTGGGGTAAAGATGAAAAGTATTCATTGTCACTTAATAAACATGTCACAAAATGTGACTAATTAAGTGTTTGCTCAAATCAAATTTGTTGGGTTGAAAGGCACATTTACCTGAACCACAACATACAGCAAATGAAGAAGAAGAAGAAGAAACTAGTGAATACTTTCATACACTCTCTTTCTTCATAGTGAACCATAATAATGCAGTGGCTAACAACTTACCTGCTGGTCTGAAGGTTATGTCTTTAAATCCTCCTCTAAGCTGCAAACAAAATGACCTTGGCTCCCTTGTTTACTAATCCTAAACTATAGATATTGTATGGGAAGTAAAGGCAGCAGCATGAGTTTGACTACATCACCCAATATGGCTCAAGACATGGACAAGGTTCCATTACTTTCCCCTTCTTTCTGAGAGCAGTATATGTGAATGCTAATAGACTGTGTACTGCTGTAAAATTTCAGAGAATTGAAAAAATGTAAAGCAGCTGTTGCCATCAGTTCTTAACTGGGAATGAAAAGCAAATTGCAGAAAGAAATAAAAACGAGGCCAATGAAATATTTCAATCATGTTAACCCTCTAGCCCCATTAGAATCTAAAAAAAAAAAAATGATACATTCGGAGTCTTGTTCTTCTATTTAAAAAATATATGGGGGTCACACCTCTATGCCACTGAGAAGACAGGCAAGTGGGAAGTACTCTGCTTCTTTGATGACATTACATCACTTTAAATGTCTAAACTCAGAAAAGGTTAATTTTTTTATTAGGGAAGTAATCACTAAATACAAACAGTGCAAAGAATTCACCGACTTCCTTCCCTTTGACCACTTGAAATGGTTTTCGTTAATTTGCCACCTAGAGCAATATGACATAATGAAATTATATCCTGTCTAAACACTGGAAGAAACACATAAGTATGTATCAGCTTTACAAAATACATTACAGTAAACAAAGTACATTGTGGCGACAAACCTTCATCAGATTCTGTGAGAATGAATAAATACCTGTAAATTATATTGTTACATAATATTTGAGACCTGTGACTTTGTACCAATACAGTGAACAATATATATTACAGAATAACTTGTATCTATTCACGTCTGGATATAAAACATCACAGAGTAACTTTTATCTGTTCATGTCAGGATATAAAACATCATAGAGTAACTTTTATCTGCTGATGTCAGGATATGAAACATCACATAAAATAACATTTAACTGTTCATGTCAGTATATAGAACGTCACAAATAACTTTGAACCTGTTCATGTCGAGATATGAAACATCACATAAAATAACTTTTATCTGTTTATGGCAGAATATAAAACATCACAGAATAACTTGTGTCTGTTCATGGCAGTGTATAAAATGTCATGAGTTACTTTAATCTGTTCATGTCAGAATATAAAACATCATGAATAACTTTGATCTGTTCATGGCAGAATATAAAACATCATGAATAACTGTGATCTGTTCATGGCAGAATATAAAACATCACAGGATAACTGTGATCTTTTCATTGCAGAATTTAAAACATTACAGAGCAATTTTGATCTGTTCATGTCAGAATAAAAAACATCATGAATAACTCTGATCTGTTCATGGCAGAATATTAAACATTACAAAGCAACTTTGATCTGTTCATGTCAGAATAAAAAACATCACAGAATAACTGTTATCTGTTCATGTCAGAATATAAAACATCACAGAATAACTTTGGTCTGTTCATGGCAGAATATTAAACATTACAGAGTAACTGAGATCTGTTCATGCCAGAATAAAAAAACATCACAGAATAACTGTGATCTGTTCATGTCAGAATATAAAACATCACAGAGTAACTTTGATCTGTTCATATCAAGATATAAAACGTCATGAATAACTTTGATCTGTTTATGTCAGAATATAAAACATCACAGCCTTGTTACCATGTCTTTGTGGAGCTGGAGAATGATGATGGCAGTAAGGAGGTTCGCTCGGTGTCCTCAGCACAAAAGAAAATGGTAAGGTGAATGTGTTCTTTTCTCTAAATAAATTAATTATTCAATAATTGACCTCACTGCACTCGGGAGATTTCCAAATGTGCTGCTTCCCCAGCGGCCAACAAGATAGTTACCACAATGATTATGCCAGTTCTTGTTTACTTGCCACTTCAGGTGTCAATTGAGTTACCAGGTTCTGCTTCTTGCTCTTCTGGTCGCCTCTGCTGCTGTAGAGTTTCTCTTATGTTATCTTTCCATCCTGTTCTATTATCTATACTGATGGCTCTGTGTTGAGGGGCAGATGAAGTGCATGGGGTTTCATAGCAAAGGCGAATAGACGTCGCATAGTGCAGCAAAGCCTTGCATATGATTTCACAACGTCTAATTTGAGAATGGAGGTGGAGACAGTCTCTGCTGGCTTGAGAATCAGCTGTACACACATGCCGTGATTGTAACTGACTAACAGAGCATGTTGAGAAAGGTGAAAACAGGCATGCTTCATGCAGAGTGGCAAGCATCACTTCAGAGGGCTCGGGTAGTTAGCATCCTTTGTAAATTTTCTCCAGGTTATGCTGGTGTGTTGGGAAATGAGCAGATGGACTTGCTGGCTCTGCACCACTTGGTGGTGAATTGATGTATGACAAGTTAGATATTCTGAGGACCTTTTGGGAGCAAGTGAACAGTGTGGAGGCGCAGATAGATCATTACGGTCTAAGGAGAATGGCGCTTCTGAGGAGTTACCAGAGGATCTGGCAGATGCGTAACACTTAGCCAAAGGATGAGACGAATATACAATCAGACGGTTACTGGTACCATCAGAATTGGAACTCTTTGCTTGCTGCTGAAGATGGGGACTGAGCACTAATTGGAGTGTCCCAAGTGCTGTTATGTCAATTCCTAATTCAACATTCATTCCATCTTGTTCTTAGTCTGCCCTGTGCTCTATCTCCTTCTCCTCTTTTGGTGTATGCGTTGTATGGTATCACATCACAAGGCATCTCTCTTAGTGGGCAAACCATTTAATTTGTTGTCTTTGTTTGTAATTTAGAATTGGTTCTGTGTTGACTTCTTCTTTTATGATTTATAATGTACCATTGCAACCTGATTACAAGATCTCTTGTTTAATTTTAGATGGTTATCTCAGGGGGCTAGATGAGTTGTCCTTGCCATAGCAAGTATGGTAAAAATTAGGGACCCTTTTAATCTTTTCTTCTTCTTCTTAACGATCACCTGCTGTAAACTCTGATGGAAGGTACTGGTTGTTCATCCACTTCTGGACTTTAGTCTTGTTCCAGAACCAGAGTTTTGCATGCACATCCATTTTACAGATCTGCTAATTTTTTATGCAGACTGTTGGTTTCTTGCCTCTCAGGCAGATGCACTTGGACTTTGAAGGAAGCATCCCTTCTGTAGGAACAACAGTCTACACACAAATAAGCCAGATCTGTAAAACAGATGTGTGACTAAAGTCAAGAAGTGCACGAACAACCAGAATTTTCTTCTAGAGTTTACAGCCAGTGAATCCCAAGTAGAAAAGAAGAATAAAGGTTTTGATGAAGTAATCGGACCCTGGCACATTTTTTTTCAGCTGAAATTATAGTTTGTGTTTGATTATGTATTGATATAAACTCTTTAGTAATGCACCTGACGAAATATGGTAAAATGTCAATGGTAATAAATTGTTTGCGCTCTCCTTATTTATAGATCAGGTGCCTTGCCGACTGTCGTGGGCGATCATGCCTCTCCACAATCTGCGATATCCTGCAGCATGTATTAGTTCATTTGCTGACAAACCTCCATGCCACACAACAAGACTGTCAAGAATCCTCTCTCGCTGTCCCCCTTCATCCCTCCTTCCACAGATCCCTCCAGTGGTCACAACATGCTCCATTTTCCCTTTTCTCACAACATGGCCCAAAAATGATGACTGTCTCCTTCTGATGTCTGTGATTAGTTGTCTTCGGGCTCCTGCCTCCCTCAAAACCCCTGGCTGTTCCCTCTGGCTGTCCAAGGTATTTTAAGCATTCTTCTGTAAAACCACATCTCTGAGGCCTCAAGAAATTGTTTGTCCTGCCTACCGATTGATTGTCCGGGATCCACAGCCATATGCCAAAACAGAACCCATGTAGCAAGCAAGAATTCTCCTTCTAACCCCCAATGACAAAGATACATTGCATAAGATGTTCTTATTTATTTATTTTTAATTTATTCATAATTTAATTTCATAACGGGGAAGCATTGTTTTGAATTGTAACAATGTTTTGTGACTCTCTTCCCAGCTTGATGACGCCTTGATGGTACATTCACATCTGTACTCATCATTTCGATATAAGGGCACCATTGATCCTGTGCAGGTTCATGTAGTTGAAAGAGGTTCCTTCTTAGCTCTACGACGCTTTATATTAGAACAACCAACAGCGGCCTCTAACCAATATAAAGTTCCTAGAGTGCTCAGGAAACAGGAAGCTGTGAAGTTTATACTGGACAGGGTGGTGGAGTAGCATTGCATGAATAATTTGATGTTTTATCTTTTACCTTTTTTTTTTTTAAATTATTATTATTATTGAATGTGGTTGGTTTTTTTACAGTTGAAGGGCAAATTGTAAACTTTGATAAAATAAGAGAAATGTCTGGGCAACCGCCAGTGTCAATGTCAACAGTTACAAGACAAAAGATGGCGCTATATTGACAACTGGAAAGATCAGTGGGAAAAGGTAGAGGCAGGCCAAATCAGATGATGCTGGATGGGCTGAAATGATGGCATGGAGGGATATCATCAAGAGAGCTGTTTCAGGCAACTAGGGATTGTGTTCTGTGGAGACGCATGAGCGCCTACGCCAGTTGGCAGGCCACATGATGATTATGACGACGTTGAATATATCCTGATAAGAAGCCAGCAGAGAATCACCAGACAGGTAATGAAATAGGAAATAAATGGATTAAGAAGGTGAGGACGCCTAAAAGAAACCATAAAACTAATGTTGATGTGAGAGGCCAAAGCAGCTAGACTAAATGTGCAGGATAGAATGGAATGAAGAAATAGACTGAGAGCCCTACATATAATGCCACAAGAGGACATTGAATGAATAAATGTAAACTTTTACTATAAATTACCGCATTGAATTCAAGTTTTTAAACCTTAAAAGAAACTTTCCAAATCTAGGGAGTTGACTTTTATGGCAGGTAGAAAAGGTAGGTATAGGACTGTTTTTAGTTTACAGTCATCCTCATGTGAGATGCAATTTTCTTTTTATTTGAAGCCCCACCCTGGCTTTATCCAGGGGCCCTGAATATAGCCAGGCCATAAAATATGGCCTCACAGCTGAAAGGGGTTTCTGGGACCTCTCCACGGGTGATCCTCATCCGCATGGTGACACTTTGTGTCACCAGGTGTTTATCGCTTGTGTGATGTCCTGGTGGGGTGCAACTACCTACCTACCCTACCTAATACAGAGGTTTGAGCTAAAAATCTTGAGGTGGACTTTTTTACTAGTTTGACTTGTACACCACAATTTACGGTACATCTTGTTTTTTACTACTCCTAAAGAAATTAATTCTTACCAGTTGTCTGATGATCTTACCACTTGTCTGATGAAAATAATGTTTTAATAACAGAAGTGTTATTCCAGCCAATTTATTATGATAAATATACATTATTTAATTGAGTGTGGGTATTTTACATTTACAGGGCAGACTGTAATACCAGCGTATGTAATGAAAATTGTGAAGTGAAAATAACATTTTAATAACAGAAGTGTTGTCCGATCCAACTTTATTATGATTAATTGACCTTATATTATCGAGTGTGGTTGTTTTACAGCTGAAGGGCAGATTTTAGCTGTTATTTCTTGTTATTTACTAGTCGCAAAGAAATTATTTATTTATATAATGCAGTTTGTGTAGTGAAAAATAACATTTTAATCACTGATGCATTATCCCATCCACATTTTTTTCTCAATAGCAAAAGCAGGCAAGAAGTTAAAGACCCATTTTACACCTGAGTGCATCTGGCATATGATGCTAGACTTATTGTTTGTTTTTAATAGACAAGTTGGCACTCAGTGGGTTATGTCATTATCATCATGCTGTCTGCCTTCACGCCCCAGGGTATTATCTGATACCCACTCAAGAAGGACTACATTGGCCATGCACACAGAATGGATACCCACTTAAGAAGGACTACATCGGCCATGCACACAGAATGGATACCCACTTAAGAAGGACTACATCGGCCATGCACACAGAATGGATACCCACTCAAGAAGGACTACATCGGCCATGCACACAGAATGGATACCCACTTAAGAAGGACTACATCGGCCATGCACACAGAATGGATACCCACTTAAGAAGGACTACATCGCCATGCACACAGAATGGATACCCACTTAAGAAGGACTACATCGGCCAAGCACACAGAATGGATACCCACTTAAGAAGGACTACATCGCCATGCACACAGAATGGATACCCACTTAAGAAGGACTACATTGGCCATGCACACAGAATGGATACCCACTTAAGAAGGACTACATTGGCCAAGCACACAGAATGGATACCCACTTAAGAAGGACTACATCGGCCATGCACACAGAATGGATACCCACTTAAGAAGGACTACATCGGCCATGCACACAGAATGGATACCCACTCAAGAAGGACTACATCGGCCATGCACACAGAATAGATACCCACTTAAGAAGGACTACATCGGCCATGCACACAGAATGGATACCCACTTAAGAAGGACTACATCGGCCATGCACACAGAATGGATACCCACTTAAGAAGGACTACATCGGCCATGCACACAGAATGGATACCCACTTAAGAAGGACTACATTGGCCAAGCACACAGAATGGATACACACTTAAGAAGGACTACATCGGCCATGCACACAGAATGGATACCCACTTAAGAAGGACTACATCGGCCATGCACACAGAATGGATACCCACTTAAGAAGGACTACATCGGCCATGCACACAGAATGGATACCCACTTAAGAAGGACTACATCGGCCATGCACACAGAATGGATATGACCAGACTTCCTTCATCAAACCCTCATATGGACATCGGAAGGGAACAGAAAACGGGGAAGACCAAGAGAGACCCTGTGTAGAACCATCATCAGGGAAGGCTCAACCATGGGCCTAATGAACATTTAAAACCTAAAACAGGTGGCAACAAACCGCTATGACCTCTGCGCTGCCCTAGGCTCAAGAGGAAAGACTAACTAACTTGAGACTCGGTATTCTTGATTTTTTATCTTTTTTAATTCAGTGTGATTGTTCTACAGCTACAGAGCAGGGCGAAACCATTATGTCCTGTTATGCTCTACTCCCAAAGAATGTATTTATTTATTTCATACCTGACTGTGTACTGAACAATAACATGATAATCACTGATGTATTATCCCACCCAAGCCAGAATTATATAACAGTTTTTTTTGTGTGTCTTGTTTCCTTAACATTCCCATAACTGCAACATAAATGTTTCATGCATTTGTACAGGTTGTTAACAGGTTTTACCTTGGTTTGTCCAGTCCTGATCTGTTGTTTCTACAAACTAATAACTGTTTCATTGTGAAGGAGTTAAAACTATTGCAGTTATCTTCTTTTGTTTCTGTGTTTGCCTTTAAAAGAATGGTTAGCATGTTGTATTGTGGTTTACAGCTAGGCTGCAGTATTTACACTTTTTGACCCAGCACGTTTAATTTTAGCAAACTGATGATTGGCTTTTTTTACAGTATGTGTGTTGGGGGGAGGGGTGGGTCTGTTCCCCCCCCCCCCACAATGGGGTCCTTGAACCCACACTGGGTCAGTTACAGTATGAGACAGAAGAAGTTGAAGTACTAGTTGGAGTACAGTGGGTAAATGAAACAACTAAATATGACTCACCTAGTCGAGGCATGGTGTCTGCCTCAGGTGCTAGAGATCTGGGTTCAAGCCCCAGTGAAGCTGGGATTTTTTCACATGGACTTCTAGTAATTTCCCCTGGTCTCTGGGTAGTAAGACCGGATGCTGTGTGCATTGTCGTGCACGTAACAAAAAACCTTTGGCAGTTGGAAATTGAAAATAGTAGCCCATCGGCACTGCCTGGCAAAATTTTGAGTTAAAAATCTACCCAAAGTATTTCAGGATCCTTGCCAGTGCTACAGAGTTCGTGCACTGTGCTGAGATTTTTAGACTCAGGCTATGGGTCACACCCATGTGCCATGATGTTGGTCTGTTGAATAAACATAAACCTGGCAGGTAATGAGCGGGGTAAACAATAAATGTACTATGAATTGCTTGGATTGGAATCAAACGAGTTAAAGAAACCTTGTTAAAGAAGCATCTAGTGAGAATCCAGCCAGGCCAGACTGCAAATGAGACTTCTTACAGCAGAACATATGGGAGAAAGTCAAGGGGAAGACCAAGAAAGCGATGGATAAATGGTATAGCAGAAACCTGCAAAAAGATTAACAAATCCATTACCAAAGCCACCTGAGAAGCACAAGACAAATACAGAAAACCATGACAATGGGCTACAACCTGGTATCATTGAGGACACAATCTAGTCACTTCCGGTTGTGACACAGTCCTGTAAATGCCAATATATTGGCCTGTCTGCAGTTACTTGCTCTCAAGAAACGTAGTTTAACTTCACTGGTTCTCTGTGCACCTGCAGTGTTTAGCAGGCCAGGATATGAACATAACTAAAAGCAATTTAGGAGAGATTCATTATTACCACAGTAGCTTTTGCAAAGTCATGTTGTTGTAAAATCTTTCCATAAGCCTCAGTGATAGAGGTCATGGGATCACAACATGAGTCACGCTATACATGTTGGTTTTTTTGTGGGGAAATAAATGTATTCCATTTAATTCTTCATTCTGTTCATGTTTATTGACTACCCATTTTATATATCTTTATCTGTTTAGAAAGAAAAATTATGAAGTAGATAAAAACATTTTAAAACATTATGGCTGACCTGTGTGAAATTGCTTTTTTTTAAAAATAATTTTTTCATTGCCTATGTTTTTATTGCATTTGTATTGTGTAGGGGTTAAGCTTACAAATGGCATTTTTGTAGTTGTGCTTCTTAAATTTCTTCATATCACGATTTTAAATAACTGGGTTAAATGTTTCAGTTATGTATGCATCCCTCATCTGTCAAGCTTCATAATCATTTTGAATGTTAATTTGTTATTATCAATGATGGCAGTTGTTGAGACATTTTGTAAAGTTTGAGGATTATTATTATTCTGGACACATTCTAACAAATTATTCATTTTTGCTCAAAAGATCGGAAAAGTTAGCTGAAAATAGAGTAGAGTCGAGTTGAGTCAAGAATTGACATCTCAGCACTCAGGGCATTCCCATGTGTGCTCCGTCCTCATCTTCAGCAGTTCCAATACTGATGATAACCCCCCCCCCCTTTCCCAGTGGGCCTATGTGGAACAAGTACAACTGTAACGTTTCAGCCGGTGTTTGTCGGTGAATTAAAAACAAGACT